TGAGTTTTTGATTTGAAGCCTTATTACCGGAGTAATTTTCACTGCTTTCTTTATAAATTTCTCGCTATCATATATTTTGTTTGTTTGGTCCATGTGGCATTTTAGCTTTTGGAGCCTTGAATATTCTCAAAAATAATTCTCCTCCAACAAGGCAGGTAGTACGGGATGAGACGCACTCAGAGTTATCGAGAGCATGCTTATATTTGGGTAAAGTCTCATTCTGCAAGTAATAAATGAATTTATTATGCCAATTCTAAATTAAATTAGTCAGGCTTACCTCACTTTCATTCTAATTGATGATAGATCAGGAATCGCCTAAATAAGAGATGACTCGATCCCGAGACTATTTGATCCGGAAATGATATTTCTCAGTGCCTGGAGTTGCTTTCTAAGTCAGTGATATCAGCAGTAGATCTGAGACTAACACATCCGGCTCGATTTTCTTGGGCTGCATAGTTTTCTTGGATTTGATCAATCGTTAAATCAATATTTTTGCTCTGAGTCCCCAAGCTAATTTAAGCCTTGTAGCATATGCTTCATACTCGGCTTTGTTGTTAGTAATAAAATAACATTTATGAATTATCTAACTACTTTCCCTGATAGGCATTAAGTATTGCCCCTAACTCGGGAAGTTTAGTACTTGTGGACCTAATTGTGTGGAAGGTCCAGATCCCGAGAATTATCCCAGAAATAACATGTTCGGGTAATATGTTCGAGCTAAGATTAATCATGAAATCTGCTAAATTTGTGATTTTATAGTCGTACGTGGTTCATAAACAATATCATATTCACTTAGTTCGACTACTCATTTAGCTAGCCTTCCTGACAGTTCATGTTTATGCAAAAGATTACGTAATAAAAATATAGTGACTATGGGAATTTAATGACATTGAAAATAAGACCTTAGATTTAAGGAAACTACAATTAATGCCAACTTATCAAAATGTAGATATGTAGTCTCCGTATCTAAGAGCATTTTATAATAGATAGGAGAATGTGTACCTTTATCTTCTTGAATTAAAATTGCATTTACCGAGACGTCCGAGATAATTTGGTGTACCGAAAATCATCTTTTTCCTCGGAATTTTGAAAGTAATGATGCGTTGTTGTTAGATAGCAAGTTCGAATGATTCGACTTTTCGGACTAAACCAATCTTTCGAAGTTCTGTAACTTTATCTTTTATTATTTGATTCTAGTTTCTTCTTTTGCTTGACCGGATTATACCGCGGGTCAATATTGAGCATATAAACCTTTTCCTCCGGTGGTACACCTGCTATGTTAGCATGGAGGCAAGCAAAGCAATTTTTGTTAGCATGTAAAAGTTTAATCACCTTACCTTTAAATTTGGTGTCGAGTCTCGACCAACGTAAACCTTCCTATTTGGGAAGTCAATGATAATTTCTAGTTCTTCAGCATTTGACCTCGTGGCTTCTGATGCCTTCGGTTCAATGATTGCTTCCGAAAATATTTGTATAATTGTCCAAGGTTATTAATGAACCTTCCTTTCTCGTGTCTATTCCATCCCGCAGCTATCTCTTCTTTTTCAGTTGTTAGGTGTGGTATCTTTGTAAGCAATCTCGTGGGTGTTTTACCCATGTTCTTCCTAATCTTCATTCTTCTCCTGTGAAATTTTACAATTTAACAAGGTAATTCCTTGCCTGTTCGGGTAGAGCCGGATCTTTTCAAGCTCGTGAAGAAAATCTCGTATCTCTTTGCTCGAACCTGTTTTTTAGATTTTTGCATTTAGATTCGAATCACGCAAGAATCACATCCGCTTAATCTCCGGACCTGTTTTTGACTTTCAATTGAATGAACGTGTCTTCCTCTATTCGAAGCTTTGTATTATATCGAATGTAAATTTTACTCCTCAGTTCCGGGAAGGTCCGGCGTTATTCTTCTGACTCCTTAAATCATATCCGGAATTACCTCGGTTTGGTTTTCGAACCTGTTTTTGGACACTTATTAGTGTCGATTCGACTAACCGTGTCTTCTTCTGTTTAATTCCGTTGCTGCAATGGTTATGCATATCATTCTCGCAGGATAGATATTAATTCCCGGAGGTGTTCTATCCGCTCGTTCTGTTCCTTGATCTGTTTCTGTAAGGTTAGAACTAAATTTTGCAAATTAAAATTACCTGGTGTATCTGAACCTCATGTTCCGGAACAGTTTCGTACAGATCCGTTATAAGTACAGATAGTTGTGGTACCAATATATCGATGTACATTCTCCATTTTTCTCTGCTTGTCATTATCATGGCTATTCTTTCCTTTTTATTTTGCATGGTAAATCCATCTCCAACTTGGTTGTCCTCAACTGTGTTGATTGGTAAATTTCGGCCATGATGAAGGTTTAAACTGAAAACAAGCGAATATTAACAAAAATTATTACTATCTTTGGATGAATAGCAAATTTGCTTGAGTTCCCGGTAAAGGAACCAAACTGTTTAACCCAAAAAATAGTTTTCAAGGTCAAAGCAATAATTTTATATGACGGGCCACAAGCAAGCGATTCAATCCGAAAGATATAAAATTTCGTTAATACAACGTGATAGAGAAGTGGGAAATAAATTCAGTGACAAATAATATAATAAAAATAAAGCAGAGAAGAAAGAATTCTTATTGAATGATCCTTGATAGGATAATGAGCCGAACAGAGCTTGAAGGGCCGAACTATGGCTAACTTGAGAGCAATATGCTATAAATTACAATGTATAAAATTGTAGAGAAGAAAATTAGATTCCCCTGATAGTGGTAAAAGTATATCTATTTATAGGGCTAAATCTAAATAACTAGTCTCCTTGAATTATGGGTCCATTATGAGCATTTACTCAGTCCATCCATTACTTTTGGAAGATTTGTAACAGCTGTGTAAATGCTGGAATTCCGTAACTGATGAGTTAATTCCATAATTGATGAGTTAATTTCGTAATTAATGAGTCAATCTCGTGCCTGTTGAGTCAATCTCGTGCCTGTTGAGTCAATCCCGTGCCTGTTGAGTCAATCCCGTGCCTGTTGAGTCAATCTCGTGCCTGTTTTGGGCTATTTCATGATGATCAGTTCTGAGGCTAACAGGCACGGTACGAGTATGGTCGGTCCCGGGGGTGTTTCACATATCATCTTTACATGTCATTCTTCACTTTTCTTCAAACTTTGTGACACGCATCGCCATTTAATAGACCCACATGGTGAGTCTAATTTTTACTAATACACTCTGTATTCAAAAGTAGTTGACTACTCATAAATGGAACATCCTTTACTTATTCTTTGAGCTAAACGCAGAATCTCTGCATATTCATGGCTAGTGATGGATTCATGACCTCCACCTATGTTGACATGACATGGAATTATGTGATTTCTTCAGCTCATAAATAAAATATCTTAACTCTCATGCATGAATTTGCAAATGTACGCTAAAAACCGCAACAGGTTTATCTGCGTATGGATGTTGGAGTCTTGGAGATTACATTAAGTTATATGGACCCTTCATTATTTGCCTTCACATATTGTGTCAAACAAGTGTTATAACGAACATGTAATTAGGTAGTTAGAAGCACAGAAGAAATTGATCTAAACTGCGACTTTATGGATTATATTCTAACAACTGATCTGTCCAAACTGGTTAGATGATATAAACCTGCTCTTTCTTACTTCAAGTTTAACCTGATGGGTGCAGCAAAAGCAATCCAGGAAGTGATGGTGGTTGAGGCTGAGCCAGAATTTTAATTTTATGGGTTCTGGATTTTAGAGCAACTTTTTAAGTGCTAATAACTCGATTCTAAATATGATATTTGTACATATTTAATGAATTTTAAGACACAGGTTGTTTGAGTGAAAGCTATTGGGTTCAGCTGAACGCGTATATGGGCTTCAACCTCGGGTGGTGGAGACATTTTAATTTGAGAGGAGATAGGGATCAGCTTGTTATGGCATATGCACTTCATTTTGGGTGATGTATGGTAATATATGGCTGAACCTCAGGCAATTTCTTGGGGGCTGAATTGGTGTTTCAGTAATGGTTACATTAATATGACCATTGAATCAGATTCAATGGTAATAATACAAATAGGCATGTCAACTGTGATGTTTCAATAACATGGCAAGTTAGACAAGAAATTGAGAAGATCAGATCACTAAATTAAAAAGCCATCGTACTTTCGTTTTCCAACACTGCTTCAGGGAATCAAACTATAACAGACTACTTGGCTAGTCTTGTTTGTACAAGAGTGAATCTTTAGTATTCTTCACTTCATTTTGAAGGCTAAGGTTTATATCTTCCTTCATATATTCTTTTTTGGTGATCCATACACGGGTATGGATCTATGACCAACCCCCACAATGGTAGATTTTAATTGAAAAAGTTCACTAAAAGAGGTTTAAGAAGATCAGTGTAAACCATATATGCATAATGCATTGGCCTCAAAAGCCCTCAAATATGGAAGTATTTTATGTATACTTCTGAATTAAATGTGTCAGCAGAATCTATATAGGATCAGCAGTTAGAATATTCCAACTGAAAGTGCATTGCTATAAATTGTATTAATTGTTACCTCCATATCTGCCATTCATGCATTACAATATATAGATATATACTCCAGTAGCTAGTAAACTATTTGACATATTAAGAATTGAAGAATATGTCACATTCTTTTTTTTTTTCTTAGAAGAGTTCTAAGGTTACAAAAAGAAGTGGTTTAGCTAGCAATTTATGAATAAATTCATTATGAACACCCCAAAAGAAAAAGGAAAGATAGAATAAAAGGCAAAGGGACGTATAATGATATCAACATGTCTAGGGCTGGGCAAATGATCCAGTAATAAACATTATCACTATTAATCCCTTAGGTTTTCTTGGGCAAAATACTATGTGAAGTTACTTTAAAATCATAGATAAGACTGTTAATGCCTTTAGTAATTTAAGGGTCTCCGAAGCAAAATAAAAGAAATCAAGAAGGAGCTCTTGAAGCATAGTTGAATGGGAGATAATTGAAGTCATGCTCTTATTTTGCATTATAAGGAGAATATACATTACATAGAACATAGTCTGCATGCAAAGTGGTACTCTAATTAATATGGAATAGTTATAAAAGTTCAGGGGGATAACTATATATCAGCCATCAAAATGTATAAAGAGAACCCAGGAACTACTTGAAAAGGCTGTCAAGTTAATACTCATCTGGTTTTCAGATAAAACTTCCTCCAAAATGCATACTTATATGTTAGACTCAGAAAATGTTGATCATCCACTTAATTAATTGTGAACAGGAGGGTGAGTTCTTGCTGGTAAATAATCCAAGTTAAACTCAGGTGGTGGATCTTCCCTTTTTTGGTGATGAACCCTCCAAGAAACTGAAACACCATAATTGCTACTAGTACTACTTTTACTGCCTTTCAGCTGATCTTTTTCATTTTCCTTGACACTACTTATCGGCTGTGCTGTTGAGGGTTTTGCTTTTACATCCGATGTAGTATTGAAAACCCTAGCAACACTTGATTTCTCCTCATTCTGCAAGAAAATTAAAAAAAAATTAAAACCTGAGTAACAATTTTAGTTTCAACTTTGTCAATATATAAATGATACGCAAATGTGTTAGAGAATAACATTGATGTCCATGGAGGGACATAACAATAACAACGACAACAAACTTAGTATAATTTCATAAGTGGGTTCTAGAGAAAGTAGTTTGTTACGCAGTTTAAAAAGGTAGAAAGACTTTTTCCCGCAAGAAGGGACATAGCCGGTGAATATTCATAAATCAAAACTCTAACTTGTTTGCGATTGATGTGTAGTTGTTGTTGTTATCGTTATTAATGCAGATGTCTTTAGAGAAGAAAGTTAAAGATAAATGAAATAGATAGAAATAAAACAAACCTTGTTCAGGACACCAAGTGAGCGAGCATTACATGCATGGAATAGAAGGAAAATTATGAGGAAAGTGACTTTGATAATTGACATTTGAAAGGAATATATGAACATTAATTTCCCGTCAGCTCTTAATATTTGAAGGACTGATTCAATGAAGATGAAAATTGTTGTTGGCCGGAACTGAATAAAGGTTGTGTACTAATATAAATATTTTAAGCAAGACAAACGAGCATTAAATGCTGATTTTGGAAGAAATTAAAGGGATTTGATAGCAGAACATGCAAATGTAAGGGAGATAGGAGTAAGATGGCAAACTAAAGATATGGGTGGCCTCTATTATGTCTCTTTCATATATCTATCAATTGGGTCCCAAAGACATAAAACCTCCCACTAAAGGAAAGGAAACAAAAGTCAAAGCATTGAGCTAAGAATTTATATATACATCAAGGAAGAAAGAGTCAAAAGAGAGATTTTACACTCATTGAATTGAATAAAAGAAATGTAAATATAGGAGTAGTAAGTAGTACTAGTAATAAATAAAGATTTAATGAAGGAAATCAAATACTCCTAAAGAAAGAGATCGATGAGCTAGAAAGTTGAGAAAACTAGAGATACAAGAAAGCAAGAGCCTGTCCAATTTGTATCCACCGAGGTAAATTCATTGGCCTTGTCCTCGTGTGAAGTTAAAACTACAGTTTTGTGATTCTTTTACATGGTTAATGGCTCCTGGTTTCTCGCTTGGTTCCACCATCTTTTACCTTGAAAATCTTACCAAATAGTATTTAAAAGGTTAATGGCCAAAAAGTAAGAAATCTTTTTAGATTGATGATAGTCACCCATCATGCATGTTAACCATCGCCTTTACACAAATATGTGTCCCAAGTTTTCATGCCTTAGAAAGGATGCTAGAATATTGATAGAGATGTATTTTGTGACATCAAGATTTTAGCAGTACATCGATTCTACGGTAAACACTTATTCGTAACGGGTGTTTGCACAAAACCGATAGATATATGATATGTGTCTTGCATATGGATTTCAATCATTTAACCATGGTAAATTATATGCATTCTCATCTAATTAAATTAATTAATCATGATAAGTTAATATAGTTTGGTGTAAATACCCGATGAAGATAAGTATTTACCACGATTCTACTTATGTATATATAGAGATAGATTCACAATTTGAAGTTTATTAATTTTTACAATAATTTTAAGTTAATATATTATAATAATTGAATTCAACAGTCAAATATCAATAGATATTTATTGGATTTTTAAGTACATATATAAAATCTAAACAAGAAATATTGAGTCCACATAAACACATATGTTACACTATAGTTCTTTCTCTATATATATATATACACTTCAAATGAAACACAATGTTTACAACATCTTCTCGCTCATATTTCGTTATCTTTTTGAACGACCTTGAACGTATATACGTAGATATAAACTTTTGGAGATTGTCATCAAAGAACCATTTTTTTTTTATTTGATTGAGAGGGCAGGGGAGTTGGGGTTGCGGACATGGATATGCAGAAAAGGACACAAGAGAGACAATGTTGCATGGCCTAGACCTCCATTGTTAGTCTCGGAAGGAACACAAGAGAGTGCCCTAACCAACGTTAACGGTCGCACATCCCACGTGGACCAACATTAGCTGACCCAACTTGCCACGTGTGCACAGCCCCACTTAGGCCGCCAAACCCCCTTCACCGCGCAAGTCCACAAATCCCCACTTTGTTTCATCCATTTGTTTGTTTTCTTTTGTGTTTTTCATACTACATATGAGCTTAAAACATGGTGAGTGTGACTATGAGTATCAGCTTAAATTCATACTCTTTCCGTTTCATTTTAATAATTGAGTTTAGTTTGATTGTAAAGAAGATTTTGAGTTTTATAATCTTAAATTAAAAATATGTATAACATATTAGAAATATCCTTTAAATATGTTGCTCTAGTAAAATGATAATGTTTTAATTAAAAATTATTAAAAATAAAAAGACATTCTTTTTAAATTGAAAAGGAGAGCGTATATGAATAGGAATTTTGAGGGGTGGTGGCCTAGTGGGCGGTTGTTAGTCAATAGAGCGACGGCGGGACAAAAGTGGGAGTGTGGGGAATTAAGGGATGGGGGGAAATGGGTACAAAATGAAGGCGTTGACAAGAGAGGCTCAAACTCGTGTGTCTTGTTAAAGCCAAGCATTATTCTTGGTCTTCTAAACTCCGTTGTCTCCACGGTAACCCCTTCAATTTCTTTTTCAGGCCTTCTTTAATATTATTTTTGATATTTTTTGTAGTCCACAATATTTAATTTTTTCATATATAAAAAGAAATTAACTATTTTTTTTTCAAAAGTTATCTTTAGAGTAAACATCCTAGTAGTATTTGTTGTATTTTCAATGAACAAATTAAAGTTTATATAGTCAATTTCATTACTTCCTCTCGTCCACAATAAGTGACCATTTTACCTTTTTTATTTTAATCCAAAATAAGTGTTCAATTATATAATCAAGAAGGAATTAATTTTATTTTTCTAAAATTTGCGCTTATTTATATATTCCAATGTGTCAAGGTAACAATTAATTAAGGTTAATTTAGTAAATATTTTTTTTTTCTTTAGGAGTTCGTATTTCTTTAATGAACAACCAAAAGTAAAATGGTTACTTATTGTGGACAGAAGAAATTATTAATTAATGTTTAATGGTGAATTTTTTAATATGCGTAAAAATAACTACAAAATCGATTAAAGTGGACCGAGAAAGTGCTACCAAATACTAGTACCAATATTGATGCATGCTATTTTTCTCGCTAACAATAGCACCAATTGCTACGTTTGGTTGGTGAAAGAATGTTAGTGGTACTAATGAGTACCAAACTGAAATTAGCTTTTGCTTATCATATGTAGTTCTTGGAATGCTGCAATGAGTTTTTTAACTTCACTACTTTATATATAAGAGGTTTTTATGTTACGGAGTAAGTTCAATATAATCTTTGAAAAAAGGTAAGAGATAATGAAGAGAGCCAAAAGATTGGCAACAAAGCCATTTCTTGGGATTTGGTAGAGCTAGCTTAGATTAGATGAATTTGTTTCTCTCGATCTTCATCATGTCCACTATAAGTGCATTGGAACCAACTACCAAGATATTTAAACATGTACAATTCCAGCAAACTGTTCGCTTCATATATATGCAACAACGACACATACATTAATTACATGCATATATGTCTAACTTTATACTCATTGGAACATGGCTAAAAGATGATCATACTAGGTGTTTCTGGAAAGAAAAAAAAAATCATAGTAGGTGTTTGCTTGGCCTAACGAGAAAAGTTGAAGTATATGATATTGCATCTTACTGGCGCAACTTCCTGTGTTTAAATCTGAGTCTCATGTTTTTTCTCCACTCTTATCAATTTTTTTTAATTTTTTTTTGGGGAGAGGCGGGGGGGGGGGGGGGGGGGGGGAGGACTAGTGACACGCAAAATAAAATAAAATTAGGGGGGCGTTAATTGGTCATTTTCGATCGTCACTAGATTTTTGGAATATATTCGGCCTTCTAAATTTTACGTCTTTACGATTGTCACATATAGGGATGGCAAAATAATAATTTAAAGAAAACAGTTAACCACCCATATTATTTATTAAAAAATGGGTTGGATAATGAAGTATTTAAAACGGGTTAAATATGGATAAGAACCATATAATCCATTTAGAAAATGGATAACCAATGAGTCTAACTTTTATATTTGTAAAGCCTCAAATTTGGAATTTCTCAAGTTAGGGAGACTAAGAATTCTCCCAAAAGTGATCATATGCAAGAAATCATGGATAATATGGTTATCCATATTATCCGCCGATTAACCCATTTTTTATCCATATTAAATATGGATCTGATCGGATAATTTATACGTTTTTTCATTACCCGTTTTTAACCTGAACCATATACGACCCGACCCGTCCATTTACCACTCCTAGTCACATATCATGATATCATTTTTATGTCTGCCATTCACACGTGACATGTTCTTTTTTTTTTCTTTCCCCATGAAATGGAGGATTATTTAGACTAATCAACTGACCACGAATTATAGGCCTACATTATACATGATTATTATTTTTTTGACAAGCGAGTAACTTTCAGAAAGCACTACAGTTTAATAATGTATATTTGTAAAATTGGGCCCACTGAACTCCTCGATTTCCTGGTAAGAGCAGGAACGTGACCATAATGAATCGAAGTCAGAGTGAGGAGCCCCTCGTATCGAGGTGTAGGATATCTGGGCCATGTCCTCTGGGGCTGGTTCGAGGATCAAGACTTCAGAGGGACCAAACAGCTGCATACGACGTGAATTCCGGCCCGTATCGACAGAAGTTCAGTGATTGGCGAAACAGAAGATTTTTACCTTTCTTTGAATTGTACTTAAGGTAAAACTCTCATACTATATAAAAGGGGAAGATTATTATTCATGAAAGACATTGTAACATGCATATCAAGGCAATTTATTTCAATTCTCTTTATTGTTCAAAATTCTTATTTTTGTTCTTAAGTTCTTCATAAGTGCAAGCTTGGAATCGAGGACAGGTTCTTCATCGAGCCATTAACCGAGTGCGGAATCACTCTTATCATTGGTTTGGCCATTTATTACGTCTTTCATTTGCTTAATCTAACGTCATTAATCACTTATGTTGAATTAATCCATATCTCCTTAAAACCACATATACATTCAATTGTTATCCGTTTTTTAGGATAAACAAATATCTAATTACATTCGTAGCTAATGTTTCAATATTAATAATTCGTAGCAAATCTTCGCTTACCAGGTGTCTGTATTTACTGTATTCGTTCGCGCAACGAATATTGTATTCGTTCGCGCAACTAATACAACATACATCAACTGTATTCGTTCATACAAGGAATACAATCAAGGCGAAATACATAAATTAAGGGGCGTGTACAAGAATATAAATAATAAAAAATACATTCCATATGTGAAACCATAATACATATATGATCCATATATTGGGGATACATACAACCTATGAGAGACTGGATGCCATCAATACAACTTATGAGAGACTGTATACATGCTAGAAAAATACATTCAATGTGTGGAAATCATAATACAATTATCAAATAACTCAATCATATACTGTATCAAAAAGCAACAACATCGATAAATAAAGTCAAATACATTCAAATGCAGCTACATTCTAAATGTATACATGCAGACAAATTAAAAGAAGAAAGTTCATTAGAAATGACGTCTCCCCGCCAAGCAAAATACTGTATATATACGCAAAATAGCTAGAGACGATCAAAAAATAAGCCAGATAAGAGAATGAGGCTTCCAGGCCTCACGTCACAAGAGACAAATGAAAAACTGGCAAGATCTAAGAATACACTGTATTGA